TCCACTCGATAAGCCAAAAAATGTTGCAATCAATTGCCTTTCTAGTTGTCATCAAACAAAAGACTCGAGGGAGTGCAACTATTTTATAGCATATCAAATGACCCAACCCTTTACACCTCATACACACATTTAGGATAAGTATACAATTAGAGGTTTCAAAAAAATAACACAACTCGTTAAATACGATATAAAATTAATAAATTAATCGGATATGAGTGATATATTTTTTGACACGAACTCTTTTCACACGACATAATTGACAAACATGCATACAACCGTCATTAAAAAAGGTGATAATTAAATGTGAGTCCTCCTAGATTGGCTTATAATAATTTGAGTTCTGAAAAAAAAAACATATTTAAGGGTAAGACAATGTTTAAAGTTATATATAGGTATTTAAGTCCACTTATTTCTTAAATCTCAAAATTACCACTAATGGTGTTAATTTTGTTCAGTTATAGAAAGTCATATAAGTTAGATCATTGTGATAAATATGAAAATCTTTAATTGAGTTATATATGGAAACCGTTTATTAAATATTATAATAATTAACGAAAGTTTTATATAGAAATTATAAATTCTGATAGTTATATATGATAGTTTGATGTACGAATAAATCGTTGGTTTATTAAATTAAAATCAAATTACAAAATTTTCTTAACATTAGTGTTACTATAGTGACACTAATGTTGCTATAGTGACACAAATGAGATTGTTTTCCTTAAAATATTCAATACCCAAAATGAAGAATTTCACAATTTCAAATAATAATACAAACGCAACCTCAATTTCAATTTTACTCTTCAAGCTTACTGTAAAATTAATTGACAAAGTTACAATTGATTCTTTGCATTCAAAATATCTTCACAACTTTGAAATTCAGAAATAGAGTTAAGGTATGTGATTTTAAATAAAAATTGATATTCATTGTAGGATTTTAAAAAATTTCTACATAATATATAGTTCAAACTGTCCATTTTTTGTTTGCATTCCTAATTTAAAAATTGAGATTCATTATTACTAAATTAAAAGTGTTAAATAATTTGATTTTGTTGTTTTATTTGTTGTGCAAGACATTCGAAATATCTTGATTGTATGTTTTTGAAATAGATCATATTACTGTGTAATAACTGAAAAATGAATTTTAGAATTTTGATGTCTTGATGTTCTTGATTGGTGTTAAGTCTCCTAATTCAACTGTCAACGGTGTATTACTATTAGAAATTTTGTAAATTTTCAATTTATGAATTGTATTTTCACTATATTTTTTCGAAAATTGATGTTATTGTGAAAATCATATTGTCTTATATTTTGTAAAAGTCAATGTGTTACTGAGCACAAACTTTTAATGTTATTGTAAAAATTAAATGTGTATATTATATAATATACGTCTAAAGGTTTGAAATTGGTAATATAAGTGAAAATTGGGTTTGAGTTTGTGTTACTATTTAAAATGGTGAAATTTTTTATATTGGGTATTGAGTATTTGAAGGATAACAATCTCATTAGAGTCATTATAGTAACATTCGTGTTACTATAATAAAATTAGTGTCACTATAGTAATACTAATGTTAAAAAAATTTTGAATTGTTGAAGAAATTTTGTAATCTGATTTTAACTTAATAGACCAACAATTTATTCGTACATCAAACTCTATATATAACTTCCATATAAAACTTTTCATTAATTATCATAATATTTAATAAACGATTTTCATATATAAATCAGTCAAGAGTTTCCATATATACCTTAATGATCTAACTTATGTAAAGAAGACAGTAAGTCAGGCATCAGTTATTGTTTTTTCAAAGGTAGAGGTACAATAGTAAATTTGAAAAAAAATGGACTTAAAACTAAATAAATTTTCTTGTCGGACTTATCTCCAAATAAGTTTATATAGGAGAACCGACCTCCAAATTTTCCTAAAAAAAATGTGGGAACATACTAGAATTAATGGATATCAATTTATGTTTTGTTCAATTTATGCTTAATTATTAATTGTAAACATGATAAAGTAATATAGAATAAGAATATATGAAGAAAAAAAAAGTGAAAGTGCATTACACCCCTCGTTTTAATGGGTAGTTGTGAGCTACTGTTACAAGAACCGCATCCAATGTTTGTAAGGGAAGGTTAAGGACAGGAAACAAACAGTCATACCCTTTTGGAATCCTCTCAAACTACACAATCAAAATGCACATGGAAAATCTCCCTTTTCTTTGCTTTAATTCCGGTATAAGTAGTAATCGAATTTTAATTCTTCTTTTGCTATTATACGATTCATATACAATATAAACCTGATATGATACGATTCGTTGAAACGAATCATGTATGAGTAAAATATTTTTTAATATTAACCCATTAAAATTTGATATAAACCTATCTCACACGACACGATTGAGAGGGGGTAATCTCGGGTATATATCACACTTCATTTTGCACCCAATCACATTAAGAATTAGTTGTCATGCTCTTACTCTGTCTCTACCAAAGTAAGTGGCCCGTGACTATCACATGGCATTTGGGTCTTGCTGTAAAAGCCTTTGGAGTCACGTTTCGGCGACCCTTTTTTATTGTGGCCAACGTAGAAATAAGCGCCACAATAACTATGGCTTTATCCAAACACCGATAAGGTAATATTAGGTGTACAAAATCTGATGACTCAGCTTCAAAACTATACTTGTGGATAAATACCCACCTACTTTTATACACAATATAATAAAAATAAATATATATAATAAATAAGTGAAAGTGAGAAAAAAAAAAAACCATCTACGGATCAAGATGCAAATATTTTTCAAGCAATTTAAATAGAATAATCAAAATCATGAGCTCATCCTTAAAAAAAATTAGGGATAATCTGTGTCTGAATATACGGTGCAATGTAAATAGTTTTGAGATAAATATTTGATGACCGTTAAATGTGTCTATCTGAGACTGTCCGATGGACTTATTAAAGTCTGTCATATTTTATATTATAGGTTAGGAATAGCTCGTGCCTGAAAGTACGGTGTAATGTGAATAATTTTAAGAAGAATATTAATAGTCATTGAATGAGCCTATTTAAGACTGTTGAATAGATTTATTAAAATTTGCTCTATTTTATATTATAGATATTATTTTTGATAACAAACAATATCCTATATTCAAATTTCATATCTCTCATTGTTGTATACTTATGAATATATATAAGGAAATAAATGTATATTTTAAATATATTTTATTTAAAGTTATATTGTAGCCACAAGAGTTCAAGAAGATAATAACTTAACTTCAAGCACCACCTTCAAAATGGCCTAATGTTTTTTTTAAAGTCAATATTAATTGAATCCGGTCCCAACACGAGGGATAAAGATAGATAATATATGCGTAGCTGCCGACGTGTACTTACCGTTGGCATAAGTTGGAATATCAAAACGTTGACTGCCACCAAGTCTTTTGTGCTCCTTGCATTCCCACCATATAACATTGCCACATTAGTTTGTGGATTAAATTCTAGTCGTAATAAAAATAAATTATAAATTTAAATATTTTAAATTTAAATCTTGATAATTTTTTAAAATCAGATATAAGAGATTTCTCATTTACCCCTTATGAATACTTTTAATTTAGTGTAGATGACTTATATTTGACTGAATCGGATATAAAATTAGTTAAAGTGCGTTTAAACTGATTCGAACATCCCTCCATTTAAAAAAAATAGCTTGTGAGTTTTTTCTTGATTTCATTCATACTTATTTTTAGTGTATAAGCCTAAATGTTTTCAAATTTATGATCTTTATCCCTTTGAGCCCAAAATAGCCATTCATAACTATGCTCTTATCCTTTTTTTCTCCCCCCCCCCCCCCCATCTCCACCAAAAAAAACATAATTATTGCAATATTATTTAATTATCCATAATGAGAACCGTGAATTTATCCCACTGATAAAATGTCCTTTTGAAGAGCCAAACTCTCTCTCTCTCTCTCTCTCTCCATAGTTGCATGTAAAAGAACTAAAAATGAAATCACTATTAAAATAGTAATCTATTATTCTTCTAGATGGGCTGACCTAATGGTCATTGTTTCTAGTATTAGACTTTAAAGTTACAGATTCTAATCTCAACTTTTTTCCACTCTTTAATAGTGTGGCAACGACTGACCAAAACAAAAAGAGTAATGCTATTGAGATTTTATTTATTGACCTAATTTATTATAACCTTTAGATTGATTATGGGAGTCATCAAATATTAAAACTTGGTGTTGATCCAATAATTCTTCTAAAACCACATCATTATGTCAGTAAATTAGATCAAATTTTTGGGTCCAAATAATATTACCCAAAAAAAAAACTGCTAAGCTCCCTCTGTCTTGTGGTAGCATCTAATTACCAATGTCGATCAGAGTTTTACATGGATCAACATACCACAAACTTTGGGGAAAAAAAACTTGAAATTAAAATTTGATGGCCGTGACAACAACAAAAATGACAATTTTTCTCACAAATTGGGATTGGATTAGAAAATCACACTACATAAAACCAAAGTATTAACGTATGGTATGGATGTTGATAGATCATTCATAATGTATTAAACAATGACTTTTATTAACCCTAATGAGTAATTTAAGTAATAATAAAAATGAACTGTAAACTCAGGTGCTTTGAGTTCGAATTTTGGTAGCTCTTTCAGACTATGGTAGGAAAGAATTATCCCTCATGAATACTCTAATTTTAACGTGGATGATGGGAGATCGAAAAAAAAATTAATTGAGGTGTGTAAGTTGACCCATAAGTTTAGGAAGGTTGGTTGGAGATGATCCAATTTCAGTCCTAATTCTAATTTTACATAAATTAAGCCTAGAAAAAATTTAAATTATCTCGTAGATTAAAGTTACAAGATAAATACTGAGAAATTATTTACTATATTTTGAGTCTTCTGACAGCTACTATACTCCTCAATTTACGAAATAGACTATTGAATTTCTATATATACACTTTCCACACCCATACAAACCTCTTTATCTTCTCCTTGTCTACTCTCTCTTTCCCTCTATAAATACTCTCTACATCTTCCATATTCCAACACTTCTCTGTCTCAATTTTCCTTTCTTCCTCCTCATTCATACCCCCAAACCACTTTCTCTCTAGTGTTTACAACCACAACAATGGCAGGCGGAGGTTTTGGTCCTGGTCCCGGTAATGGAAAAGAATATCCAGGCAACCTTACTCTCTATGTGACTGTAACTTGCATTGTTGCTGCTATGGGTGGTTTGATATTTGGTTACGATATCGGTATTTCAGGTACAGACTAAAACCCATGTGTTTTTGATCTTGTAATAAGTTTATGTTTAGATATTTGATCTGGATTTCATGTGAAAATATGTAGGTGGAGTGACATCCATGGATTCATTTCTGAAGAAGTTTTTTCCATCTGTGTACAAGAAGCAAAAGGCCGATACATCCAAGAATCAGTACTGTATGTTTGATAGTCAAACACTGACCATGTTCACATCTTCATTGTACTTGGCTGCACTTATATCATCTATTGTAGCTTCTTGGGTGACCCGAAAACTAGGAAGAAAGTTGTCAATGCTCTTTGGTGGTGTACTCTTCTGCACTGGGGCTTTGATCAACGGCTTTGCTCAAGCTGTCTGGATGTTAATTGTTGGGCGTATTTTGCTTGGTTTTGGTATTGGGTTTGCCAATCAGGTCTCTCTCTCTCTCTCACTCTCTCTAAAACATATGAAATCTGTCTGATTTTTTTCTCTCAATTGTGTTTAGTGTAAAGGGTGTTTGTTTTGTTTTGGATCAAGAGATTCGAATGTTTTAATATACCACTTTTTTGTTGGCTCATTATAAGTTGTTGGTAGGGTACAAGTTTGGTGTTTTTGGAAACACAAGAAGGAATATTTACTAGTTTTTTTTTTCGATACGATTGTTCCAAGATTTTTGCTTGTTCTCTTGTCTTGTTCCTTGTCCTTGTGTATTTGTTTTCCCCTGCTTTTGTGTTCTTGTTATCAGTTTTGAATCATATCCATAATTACTCAAAAGCAAAACTGCCTGAAAATTTGATTTTCAGAACAAGAAAAGCACTTCAAAAACACCACCCAATTCAATTTTTTTTTTCAGATCTGAGTGTTGTTCAAAAGATGTGGTCAGAGAAGAGTATTTCAAAAGATGTGGTCAGAGAAGAGTATTTCAAAGTACTCAGATGTGTGTTTTGCTGTAAAGTTGACTCTGAACTAGTTCTGATCTTCTGCATATCTTTTTGATCCTTAAATTCTCTGGTCACTGATCTTTGTGTCCAGTGTATGTGATTTTCTTTCTGGGTTTTTGTATCATTCTCTAAAACAAGTTTCATAAACTCTGATTGTATTGCTATTTGAGTTGATCTTAGATTCGGATCTGCTTTGAGATTTGCTTCAACTAGATAAATCACTTGTTAGTCATCAAGCTTAATACAAATTAGTCAATGAAATAAAAAAAAGTAGTCTAATAATTAGCGGTTGAGACAAAAGAATGCCCTTTTTTCAATAACATGACTGCAAGTCATAGCTACCTTGTTTTTCTAAGCACATGACGTTTCTGTTTGCTGTTTTTCTAAGCACATGACGTTTGTGTTTGCTATGTTTCCATCATCCGTTTACTCGTGAATGCTACGGCGTTGAATATAAACAGCTAACAAATTGACTTTGAAAGTAACCTTTTCATTAATTTATGTATAAATTATGCACATAATGATCTGTTTTCCTTGTTTGATTCAAAAATTGACATTGTTTGAGATAACGACTTTTATTTAATTAATTTCTAATTGTATAATTCAAAATTATCATGTAGATTACAATTTGTAATGGGTTTTCCAAATTATTGGGATTAAGCCTATGTTTTGATTATGGTGTTCATGTGTTCTTGTTTGGTTTGTAATTTACAGTCCGTGCCACTCTACTTGTCTGAGATGGCTCCTTACAAGTACAGAGGTTCCCTGAACATTGGCTTCCAATTGTCCATTACAATTGGTATCCTTGTAGCAAACATTTTGAACTATTTCTTTGCTAAGATCAAGGGCGGGTGGGGATGGCGTTTGAGTTTAGGGGGTGCAATGGTACCTGCCCTTATCATCACAGTCGGATCACTAGTCCTTCCCGAGACACCAAACTCGCTGATTGAGCGTGGCAAGACAGAAGAGGCGAAAACTAAGCTTAAGAGAATTCGAGGTGTTGACAGTGTTGATGAGGAGTTCAATGATTTAGTTGCTGCTAGTGAGGAATCTAAGAAAGTGGAGGACCCTTGGAGAAATCTTTTGCAAAGGAAGTACAGACCCCAACTTGTAATGGCCATTGCTATTCCATTCTTCCAGCAACTTACTGGGATTAATGTGATTATGTTTTATGCACCGGTTCTATTCAAAACAATTGGTTTTGGAAGCGACGCTTCACTCATGTCTGCTGTGATCACTGGTGCTGTAAATGTTGGTGCAACCTTAGTTTCAATCTATGGTGTTGATAAGTGGGGAAGGAGATTTCTCTTCCTTGAAGGTGGTGTCCAAATGCTTATCTGCCAGGTATGTCATTTGCTATTGTTCATCAAGATCAAGTGACTCAACATGTTTGTTTTGTTTTTATGTTACTGATTTTTCATTTTTTTGTATGAGTGTAGGTCGTTGTTGCAATCTGTATAGCGGCTAAATTTGGAACAGATGGGAACCCTGGTGACTTACCAAAGTGGTATGCTATTGTGGTGGTGCTATTCATCTGCATCTATGTTGCTGGATTTGCATGGTCATGGGGTCCTCTTGGATGGTTGGTACCTAGTGAGATTTTCCCACTCGAAATCCGATCTGCTGCACAAAGTATCAATGTTTCAGTCAACATGATCTTCACATTCGCGGTTGCTCAAATCTTCCTGACAATGCTTTGCCACTTGAAGTTTGGTTTGTTCCTCTTCTTCGGGTTTTTCGTGATAGTTATGACCATCTTTGTATACATCTTCTTGCCTGAAACCAAGGGAATACCAATTGAAGAGATGGTGATTGTGTGGAAACAACACTGGTTCTGGTCCAGGTTCATGAGTGATGAGGATTATCCGGCTAATGGTGCAATCGAATTCAGCAAGGGGCCTCTCAAAGAAGTGTAATCTACCATGAACTTACATATTGCTGCATACATACAGAGTTGTCAAAGGATGAAGGGGGGATAATTTACTACCTTCTGTGTTTCTGTTCATCTCCCATGTAACTGATTGATGATTGCTAATATGTAGCTTTGAATTGCTGTTTCTTTTGCATTTTTTAGTACCAGTACATAAATTGGTTCCAATATCAAGAATTATATAAACTAGTTTTTATGTATGAATTCATTTGTGCTTGCCCTTTGGTTGTTTCAACTGAAATTGACACATTTGTTGTGGGGAGTTTGTATCATGAACAGCTTAACATGCTAAAAATCAAGATCCATAACTTGGTTTTTTGTTGTAATTATCTCCTTCGAAATGGTCTTGTTTCAACTCCCTCTGTTTGCCATCAATATATTTAGTGATTCAAGTTCTAAGCAACCTTGAATATTAAAGGAAGGTCTAGCTCCCTAACTGAGGGATTAGCTTTTAGAGAAGCCGTCATACGGTTGTTCTCTCCGACCGCAAGGGTGGCTAAGGGCTGGAGCTACTTCCTGTGTTTTTTGGTTAACAAACAAGGGTGATCCCTTAAGTGCGCTGTTAGCTCGATAAGGTAGGCTGCTTCCCCTTCCCTCCATTGAAGACTGGACTGGTCCAAGCTCCTTTCCTTTCCAGTATGAATATGAGCTCCGCGAGTGCTCTCTTCCCGACTTTAGGATGTAATGATATGCGTTTCTCACTCAGGGAGTGACTTTGTTAATTGGAATATGCTTCATATCTTAGTTGAATTGTAGCTTTTTAAAGGGAGGATGCTTTCCCCAACCCTGAGGTTAGCTCCCTAATAGAGGGATTGGCGAAGAACCGGCTAATTCATCTTTCCTTCAGAGTGTTGTCCCTTGTTTTGGTGATTCAGTTTTGTTGCTACCATTAGTGTCATCTAGTCACACGTACCAACCGCCTTCCTCCCCCAACAGGCAAGAAGACTGGGAGGGAGACGATCTGCTAAATTTAACTAAAAACTTTTGGAACTCTGTACAAAAAACAATTCCAAATGGTTTTGGACAAAAATCTTAATAAGTGAAAATTTTGGCAGTTTGACTTCTGTGAAAAGAGTTCAAAGAACTTGCAAACTTCTCTCAGTAATGAGATGAGAAGGAAGATAAGATATCCCCTGTAAGGCCCTAAATTTCCAAATGCTGTGTGAAAAATCATAAGAATTCACTTCCATTTCTGCAATTCAGAGCTCTAATACTCTCAACTAGTACCGATAATGTTACAAATTAATTCATATTTTTACTTCCCTGGGCCAGACAATACCTAAAACAGAAATCACTAGATAATGTAGAACATTAGAAGTGAGAAAGAATCCTATTCTGTATGTATTATTTCCTTCTTTCTCTCATTCTTCTGGATTATAAACAGTCACCCTCTACAAGAGACATGGTTGTCATAATCTTGACAAATTTAGATCCTTAATAAACCCAATCCTACAAATTCAATTCTTGTTGATAAACATCAAAACCGATAAGGTCGAAACATTGAAAGGCATGTGGTATGAGAAAGAGGCAGTCATAGGATCAAAGAATAAGCAACTCTAACATCCACAACTTTACTGTTAGTGGCAATCGAATTTCACATGTTTTTGAGTACGAATCACACCTTTTGGTCTGTTGGGAATAATGACATTTAAACACTTCCTGGTCACAAAAGAACAATGACACTGGTCAGGCTCTTGGTAAAGAAGCCAAGGAAGTGATGTGTTACCACCGTAGTTTCATTCAAGTGGATGACTTTTTTGCCTCTATCAAATGATGGAGAAAATAAGAATCACATGACTAAGCAAAACTTTAATTCAATAAGGCACCTATACCTCTGCTAACATGCCTTTTGGATATGTTTTTGGATAGCATTGGATAAGTGGTACTTATTCTGCTACTTGTTCCTCCCTCCCCCTCTCCCTCTCTCTCTCTCACTCACTCAGACACACACAAAAAAAGTTCATCATTAAAGTTTCTTTTTCATGCCAGGATTCTTCTACATTGATTTACAGAGTAAAAGTTTGGAAAAGGCTAAGAGGAGACTTGTTATGAGATGGGTTTGGTTCCTGTTCAGTTTGCTACCTACCAGTCTTTTCCCCACTCTGTTTTTACCTTGTCAATTTGTCACACGAATATGAAGATTTGACACAGATTTTCACTTGTTAATAAGGCACTTGGCATGCACTAAAATTTATGAATTTGTCAATAAGTTCTTGATATTTCAATCATTCTCTAGCTTTTTTCACTTCTATTGCACCTATTTGATGTAACTTTTGTTCTGCTTTCTTTATCTTGTGTTTGGACAGAAAATATTAAATCTTATTAATATTCAGTGTATTGACATCTGGTAATCTAGATGTATTAAGAAGACGCAACATGGCAGAAACTGAAAAAAGACAGGAGATGACCAACCACAATCACATTTGAAAAGAGAAATAACTGATTAGAGGTTACTGTTCAGTAACTGTTGATAAAAGCAAAACTATCGAGGACAAAGGCTATAGAAGGGTATGTAGTGGAGAAGACAAAAGATACATTCAAACCTCCCACAAGACTCACAATTTAAGCATTTTAAGGAGTAGTTTTTAGATTAATTTTAAGAAGCAATTACTACTGCAATCAAGGCTGTTTATTCAGTCTTTTTTTGTAACCGAAGTCTCTTCGGTTGAATTAATAAAAGAATCTTATTTTATGAGTTTCTTGTACTCTGTGTTTGTCCATTAAATTCATCCAAGGTTGTCCTGAAATAAGACATTTGAATCATTCACAAACAATCGTCTAAAACCTGTCAATCGATTGAAATTCTTCCGTCGATCACAATAGGTTTTGAAACAACATCTTATATATTACTCTTCCAATAGTCAATTGACCCATGGACATGATCTAACATATGGAACTAACATTATTGAAATTTCAACAACAATAAAACAAATGGCCATTGTTTCATCCATCGAAAGGCCATTTCATGGAAAGAAAACATAAATGGAGCCAAAGGTAGGCCTATTTCTGGCTCCTTATTCAATGGATGCTTTTCAAGCTTAGTTTCTGGGCTTAATTAAACTGTGCCATTAATACAAATCCACTGACCCACAAAGAGGGCAGAACAGTTGAGGTTGGGGTTGATGCCATTGAAGTATTTCATTGTCAAGTTGAAACTCTGAGTAATGCCATAGCAAGTATCTCCACTTATCACACCAACCACTGAATCACATTTCACCTTAACTGCTCATTTCACCTCAACTGCTCATTTCATCTTGAGATCAAAAGAAAACAAAAAAGATGTCACCATGTGATCAAATCAAAATATTCAATTCATGTTATTTTAAAGTTGGTGTTTAATATCGATAATTCGTAACCCGACTTTTTTTAATTAGTCGCATTAGATATCTTGAGACTAATTCCCCTAATTATTAATGGCGTCAAGGAATGGTAGTGGACCAGGGCGGGGGTGGAGTAGTCTCCAATTCCGTATTCACTTCAAAAATATTTGTCCACTCCTAGTCTGCCCCATTTAGTAGGAAAAATTTTAATCTCCATCCCCGTCCCGTGGGTAAATTTTAATCTCCATCTCTATTCCTGTCCCTGTCCCTGTCCATAACAATTATTTTATATGATATATATATATATATATATTACGAGTTTAGCCAGGCGGGCAGAGGTGGGGCGGGGATGAGTTTCAGTCCATCCTCGCTGGGTTTATACATATATCTCCTTATATATTCACCGTCTAATATATATAATTTATCCCTTGTCCAAACAGAACGGGTTTAAACGAATACCTGTTTTTTCTCGATCGATTGTCATCCCTAGGAGTCATCGCCTCGTATACACGTCAACACACAAAACCCAAGAATTGAAACTTTAGAATTCAAACCCACGACTCATTGGCTTTCCATAAATTAAAAATTCAATCGTTTCAAATGCTAGCAAATAATGTAAAATAGTTTTAGTTTTACAGGAATTCATACAATACGATATTAAGAAATGAAAAGAGTGGGAAAAAAATGAGACATTACAATACTATTCAACAAGGTGGCTGTGGTGTATTCCCACTTTCTAAGGTCGATACTAATCCGCACTCTTTACCTTCTTTTTTTTTTCTAGTTTCAACTGTCTGGGATATTCGGATCAACTTATGTGTATCTCAATTAATCCTCTCATTGACTTAGTCAAAAATTAGTCATCCACACCGGGGTTAGAATATTCATGAGAGATAAATACCTCATAACTTGACCTCAAAGAATTTTCAAGATTCAAACTCAAGACGTCTAGATTTAGAGTTTGTCCCTGGTTATTTAAGTTATCCCTAAATTGCGCTATTTACTATTTGTATTAACAGCTTACGTCATTTTTGGGTTGATATCAAAAAATAATCAACCTAATTTCATGCCGATTCCACGTATATTATTAATGTGTCATATCAAAATTGTTTTAGCAAGATTATTGGGCAAGAAGTATGAATTTCAAGTGTTTATTAATCCAATAATAGCATGATCTAGGACTTACCACCAAGGATTGATCTGCTTTCAGCCACCATGACAATAAGAAAGAGAATCAGAACCATGTTTAGAAACATGGCTATTTTGTTGTTGTTGTTGTCGTTGTTTACCTTAGCCATGTTCTTTCTTTTTTCTTTCTTCTATTTGCTCAAAACTGATCTCTCTTCCTGTTATAGGGTATGGTTCCTCCAAACCCCTTCTATTTATAGTAAAATTTCACTAATGAGCCACCAGTAGAATATTAGTTAGAAGCCATTGTTATCTGAGATTCACATAGACATAGAAGCGGACTCTAGGGACAGTAGGTAGGATTTTCTTGTGATTTTCGAACTAGGGTTGTACTTACCAAAGAAGTTTAAAGTGGAGAAGATGCTTTGTTCGGTTGAAATAGATATAAATTCGGATCTTTTCCAATATTCTATTCCTTAATTTTCTTTGGTAATAGCACACGATGGATTCGAGAGGGATCTAGTGTACTTATATAGGATTTTCTTGTGATTTTTTTAATATTGTACATTGATTTAGTAAATCACTTGAGTTAGTCGTTTAGTGGTAAATTATACCTATTTAGAGTCATTCTTAATTCTCATGTGGTTACTAAGTAGGGTTCGACTCACGGAAACAACATGATTTGTTGTTTGACTTTGGTGATACTGTAGTGACGGACTATTCTTCTAGGTTAGTAGTTATGGCTCAAACCGGACATTCCATAATAAGGGGATCCTCATAGTCACATCCAAAGGTTACTATCTAATAGTCGTCCCTCCCCCTCCCCCTTTTTTCTGATAAAAAGGGACTCATCCCTCTTCTTATTTGTTTTTTTTATT